CGCTTTGACGATATACAGTCCAGAGCAGAACGACGAAACCATGACAAACTTGCACCCATTAGAAAAGTTTTCAAAAAGTTTTTAGAAAAGTGCATGGATTGCTATACAATTGGAATGTATTGCCCACATTGACGAGATGCTTGATAATTTTCGGAAAAAATCTAGCTTTCGTCAATATATACCCAGTAAGCCGGCAAAATATGGGATACAAATGTTCGCACTTGTTGATTCCTGAACTTTTTATACAGCAAAGTTGGAATCATATACTGAAAAGCAGCCAGAAGGCCCCTTTGAAATAGATAATAATCCCAGTAATGTGGTTAAACGTATGATAGAACCAATTGCCCATACTGGACGCAACATACCTTGAGAAAACTGGTTTATGTCCATTCCACTGGCTACTGACTTGCTACATAATTATAGTATAACTCTAGTAGGAATCCTGAGAAATAATAAACCACAAATGCCTTTTCAAAATTAATAAATGAAAATAATTTCTATCCTTGTGTAATCGGTACACACCGGAGGGACCGCAGACGTTCGGATACAATTAGCGTCTCTTAGGAAAGACAATGACGTCGACTTTGCTAAGTATCAAGACAATTACTCTACACAACAAACACACACACACACACACACTACATTAATAAACTTATCTTGATTGAGACTGGCTGAATGACAATTGTCCAAGCCAAAACACACAAAAAAATGCCTTTTCTTTTTGTAACTACAAAAGGAAGACCACTAAACAGCAGCTTTTTTGGTTATGATTAAAGACTCTCTTTTACTATCATACGTTCCCAATAAAAACAAAAATGTTCTGATGCTATCTACGTTTTATAATGATGACACAATTGATGAAAAAACGGGTGAAAACTTTAAGCCGCAGGTTATTACCTTCTACAATATGACAAAGGGAGCAGTGGATGCTCCGTTTCTCGAATAAGTAGCCGATGGCCACTTACAGTCTTTTTTTCATTAATGAATATTGCAGGAATAAATACTCACGTAATTTATTATAGCAATACTAATACTAAATTTAAACGCCGTAAATATCTAAGAGAAATTAGTACAGATCTCATCAGACTCCGCCTGATAAGTCGTGCATCAATAACAACATTGCCAATATTATTACGACTTCAAATAAGGCGCCAAGCAAGGTCCATAAAGAAACTTCAGTAGCAACTGCAGAAACTAAAGATAGAGTCAAATGTTTTTACTGTCCTCGAAGTAAAAATAGAAAAACCACTTCAAGGTGTGCAAATTGTTCTAAACCTATTTGTGGTAAACATATAATAATTAGAATATGTCAAATATGTCGCAATAAATGCTATGAAAGTGAATAAAGTGTTTACATTTCTTTTATGTTATACAATTTTTTCTATGTATTATTTCATTATAGAAAGTACATATATTCATGTTATTTATCACTAATAAAATTTTTAAAGAACCAGCAACCGACTAAGTTTCATTAATTATTGAATATCTTAATAAAATATAATTAAATGAGAAGAAAATGGTGATTGAGCACAGCGCTCATAGGCGAACAATCGCGTCATTTTCAGATACGCGAACAATGACGGGTTAATGTAAAGTACGAATTCAGGGGAACTGTCTTAACCTTTTAAAACAAATAAAGTTTTGCGCCAGGGAGACCCTCTCTTCTGTATACTGTTTAATATGACTCTGGAAAAATATATAATAAATCAGTGCAAATTATTGTCTTTTCTGATGATATCAATATCGTGGGTAGTATGGAAAACTAGAAAAAACCGGAAAAAAAGAAAAGTACTAAGGCAAATCTATAAAGCAGTGAATGACCATGGAGTGTGGAGAAGACGATACAACTTCGAATTGTATAGAATATACCAGGAACCAGATATCGTAAAACATATTAAGACATGACGTCTGAGGTGGATAGGTTATGTAATGCGGATGGGACAAAATGACCCAGCAAGAAAAATGCTCTTTGATAGACCCATTGGTCAGAGAAGAAGAGAAAGACCCAGAACAAGGTTTCTTGATTACGCCGAGGAAGACATGAGAAATATGGTAATACGTACTTGGGAGAGAAAGGCAATAAATCGGGATGACTAGAGAGAAATTCTTGAGGAGGCTAGGACGCATGCAGGGCTGTAAAGCCAGAATAATGATGATGAAAAATAAATACTACTTAAGATTGTGAGTATTGATTTATTTTCCATGTACTAGTATTATAGACTTACATTGGCAACATTTTCATAATTTAAGGTAAGTCAGGGTAAGTGGGAATCTGGGGCAAGTGCGACTATTCAATACCGTAATTAAACCAACGATAGTAAAATAGCGAAATCTAGTGTAAACGTTACTCAACTGCATAACGATGTGTTCTGTATACGGTGGAGCGACGTTACCGACAGTACATGTGAGAGTTGAGGTATTGAACATATAGCTGCAAAAATCCACTTGATTTGTCAAATTTTGCACTTACCCCAGTGTTCTGCAATAGCAAGATTTTCAAGGTAAGATTATTAGCCGTATTATTTTAGTGCAAAGTGCACTTCGTAAATACGATAAACGTGTCTCAATATACATAACCCTACTTAGAGGCCACGTACACTAATTTCGCACTTGCCTTAATAAAATTTTATCGAGGCAAGTGGGAACTAGGAATAATTAGTTACGTTCCCACCTGCCCCGATTAAAATTTTAATGATTGACTCTTTTTTAGGTGCTACCATGGTTCACATTTATCAACGTAAGACGGAGAGAAAAACAACACTACATACAGCCAAGCCGAAATTATGCAATTCCAAAAACAACATTGCACAACCATTTAACTGTTGTAAGAGGAACAAAAAGTAATTTATTAAGTAGAGGACCAGTTATTCATGCCGAACATGAACGCAAGTTAGCCGAAGGATTAAAAACTCTAGAAAAATGGGGCTTTGGATTGTCAAAACGTGAAGTTATGTTGATTGTCTCTGATTTTGTTACACAAAATAATAAAAGAACGTCATTAAAAATAATATTCCTGGTCATGACTGGTTCACCGGCTTTAAAGCAAGATACAAGTTATCTCTCAAGAAACCCCAATCGGTTGAGTACGCAAGGAAGAAGATGTGTGATCCATTTCCCATTTATAAGTATTTTGATACCTTAAGGAATATACTCTTGTTAAAGAGAAGAAAAAGAGATACTCTTGTTGAATTAGATCTTAATGATAAGCCTAAACAAATATGGAATTTGGACGAGACCAGCTTATGCGTTGACCCATTCCGAGTGAAGGTGCTAGGAACCAAAGGTAAACCGTGTTCGCGAACTACGAGTGGTCCAGGTAAGGAGAATGTAACAATATTATCTGCGGCAAATGCATTTGGGGACAAAGTACCACCATGTATTGTATTTAAAGGAAAGTTCGTATGGGACCAGTGGAAGGCAACACAGGACCCAGATAATCGTGATATAAATCAAATTTCGTCAATTTCTTAAAAAATACATTTTTGAATGCTGTGGGACAACAAAGACCACTATTATTGATATATGATGGCCATAGCAGTCATATAAATACTAAAGTCATCGAATTAGCTCGTGAAAATGAGATTACCATTCTCAAGTTGCCGCCACACACATCGCATTTACTACAACCCTTAGATTTGTCCGTGTTTAAATCTTTTAAGACTGAGTGTGACAAAAAATTGGTGACTTGGCAGCGAAGAAATCAAGGAATAAAAATACCGAAGCGAACATTTTCTGAACATGTTTGTGACGTGTGGTATGGTACAAAGCCAGAAATCATCCAAAGCGAATTTCGGAAAGCGGGAATATTCCCATACAAAATGACGTTGTCAAAGAAGATAAATTTCACCCCGATGCCTTTAAACATTGGAAGGAGATAAATAACAAAACTGCGAATCAAGGTGACGAAAATATGGAAGCAACTCTAGAAGATTTACTGCCATCGGTTTCTTTTGAAGACTTTTGAAATCAGTCAAACCAATGTCTCGTTTGGAACCAGTAAAGAAAACACGAGTAACTCCTGGTGCCGAGGTTATAACCAGTAATGATTATTACCAAAAATTACAAGAAAAAGCAAACAATAGTATTGAAGCAGTGCCCAGCACCAGTGTCTTAAAAATATGAGCGGAAAATAAAATCTAGACGACGAAAACAGCATAGTTCCAGTTCTAGTGACGTGCTATCTGATATATATCCACCGTTAGATGATGATTCTTTGGATGATTCGCTAGATGATTTGGTTGAGGACATCCTAGATGACGATATGGGCAACAATATTGAAAATTTAAAGGAAGATTTTGAGTGTGGACAGTGGCTTGTAGTGAAATATACCGGAAAGAAATCTGTGAAACACTTCATTGGAACAATAGTGGGATATGATCAGGACAACAACAATCCAATTGTTAAATTCACGAAAAAGAAGAATAACAATTAAACATTTTACTGGCCAGATAATGATGACACTGTGTCATGATATTGCCAGATCCTGTAGAAAATAGAAGAGGAAAATCGTTCTAGTTCAGTGTATCTTTCAAAGGATTGAATTTCGTATGCTAGGAAATTTAGCTTTTATATTTTGTTCTCATCAAAAAATTTTGGACTTTTTATAAAAATAAATATTACTGACACTAAATTTTATGTTTCTTATTCGCAATTCGCTATTCATACATAGTGAAATACACAACAAATATAATAGCCACATGCTGCTCCCACTTGCCCCACAGTCTGGGGCAAGTGAGAATATTTGATCAGGTAACGAAAAAAAAAATTGTATTTGATAATGTTTGCATAATTAACACGTGTTAGTAAATCAGTACAAATTAGAAACTTCTAATGACTTTATATACTAATTGTGATTATTCTAGAATGCATACTTTTATGTTAATTATGCAGTTCAATTCTCAAGAACTCATACAATTTATGAAAGCTGAAATATACTATATTGGTATTTTCTGCCCAGAGATCATTTCTTTTATTACAGTAACTATCATGATTATACTTACTTATTAACTCCTTTTCCATACAAAGGGATTAGATCCAATAGCAGCACGTCCAGATTATATTTAAAATTCACAGAAATATCAGGAATCTTAACAGTCATATTTAGTTTTGACATACCCGTGATCTTTATGTAAGTCGCTACCAAGGATTTTATTCCAAATAATTTGAAATCAGACAGATTAGCAACACCTCTAAAAGAAAAAATTTAAAACAATATTAGATTTTTCTGCAAAAATTTATACAAAGTGCGTTAGACACTTTTTTTAAATCTAGGTGCCTGTTAGGCTTATTATCATCAGCAGTGGTAGTATAGTTCATTCATCGAGATGAGCTTCAATCTTCAATAGTCTGTTTTGCCAGTTTTACCAAATATTTTTGTGGTTAGTTTAATTAAAACTAGAGCTAAGATTAATACTATTACTAGAACTAACAATAAACTCAGCAGTCTTCCGGGTTGAATCACGTTGATTGTCATTGGGCCGAGCTTTCGATATCCTCTCTAATATCTTCTTTAGAGCTTTCAATGTCTCAGTTACTCGAGCCCTCATACACTACTACACTGATGCACATAATGCAATCGATCAGGCTTTTTCTAATACACAAATTGAAAAGGTAATTTTCATAACCCCATATGTCCACATTGGCTATTTTTTCAGGGGAGTTTAAAAATCCGATTCATCTACATTATTTCACCAAAACATATTTAATGTAATATAGTTTATAGTTCAGTATTGGTTTATGAGCTAAGAAAACTACTTACTTGTGTAGAAAGTGCTATAACAAATTAAAAATATAATATAAAAGTTGTTAAATGTGAGGTTATGCATGAAACACATGTCACATGTGGGGTTATGAACATAACAGGTTTAGATATGTAATGTTTTGATCAAATCAATTTACTATAGTTTAGCATAAGATTATTTATTTTAGTGTAGGGTTGGACTGAGTAGCAAAGTGAAAAATATGTTCTTCACAATATAAAAAATAAAATTTTATTTCATGACATGAATGTGTTGCTTGTGTGAGTCCATTTCAAATAAGTAAAAGAAATAATAAATAAAACTTACTAAATTGATTGTAAGTCTTATTTATTATTTCTTTTACCTATTTAAAATTTTATTTATTCTAATAAAATAGTTACCATTTTTCACAATATTACAGTAAAACCCTATGTTATAGTGAGACCTTTAGATAAGAGTCTAGGTATTACAAGTGATGGGCACAGTCCTCTTCTAAACAATCACAAACAACTTCCTCCTCTTCTTTGGGTCCATCTATATTTGGAGCAACAATAATAATTTTGTACCAAAGAAGTCTTTCAATGTCTTGCCAGTTTGCATCAAAAAGAATAGTTAACAGTTCGTTCACATCTTTCTTTTTTGCTGTGCTTACGGGATGAACTAAATGAATTTCTTGAAGAGGATTTTCCAGTATTTTTTTCAAGTCATGTGTTGCTTTAGAAGGCTGTATTTGTGTAGCTCTGATTCAAACCGATAAAATTTATTGCCTTTAACCCATCCCTGTAATTTTTTCTTTGTCACAATATTCTCATTGAAAATATTCTTTTTGTGTGACTGATTCTAGGTAAGTTTTTTAAATAATTATTAGCAAGTGACTTTACATCCTTCAGAGACCAATCTGTTCCAAGTACCTTTACAGTTCCAGCTTTTTATATTCTTCAATATTACCGCTTTTATATTACCGTACCGCTAGTACGATTTTTCCGCAACAATTTCTTGGCTCTTCCAAAAACCCTATTGGCTGGTAAAAAAGAATGGCCCCTGACAGGGAAATTAATAGTAATATGTGTCAAGGTGCCTTCATGAGCTGCTAAAAAGTACAATAAAGTATGAACCACAACATTGTTTTTCTCTGACCTGTACATCCAACACAAAACAATCTCAGGTGGGTCACATCTGTAAGGTCATCTGATTAAAGATAACTAAGAAGAGCAGAATCTACTTCGGTTGAACCGCGCCCTGCTTGCTCTTCGTTCCAAATATAAAAGTATGAGGTGTTGTCATTTCTAATATCTGTTATACAAACATTGTAAAGACTTAATTGTCCGGCATAAAAAGCCTGTTGAACAAGTGTTCGAGGAAGTGGTTGCACGTGCTGCATGTCAAAGCGTAACGTTTTCTCTTTTTCTTTGGTTTCTTTCATTAGGACATACAAACACTTTAAGATTTTATTGTGTATTCTTTTTACAGTAAAAAGTATCTGCTTTTGAGTTCCTGTAGCATTTTAAATTTTGTAGTCCATAATGGCACAGTACCCACAGACGTCAGATGCCGGATACTTGAAATAAACATTCAACTCTCCGCAGAATATTTTACGAAACATTGATAACTTTACTTGGAGTTGGGTATTTTCTGCACTAGCATTATAAATTACGTGAAGTTTTCATATTTGCATAGATCACTACTTAAATAATTAACACTTTTTTGATTTGTTGCGGTTGTAGTGACTTTCAGTACCTTTTAAATTTCCAATAAACTGGCGAACCGCCTCCTTCTTAACCAGTGATCTTTGGCTTATTCTATCACCTTCTCTGTTGTTTTCTAGTCCTTGGTTAGTTTTTAGTTTTGATACAAGTCGTTAAACTCTTTCTGATGTAAACTGAGTAAGGTGCAAAAAGAAAGATTTACACATAGTTACGCTACCCCCAGAAGTAAGAGGAAATCGGTAGTTAAGTCGATTTTGGTTTAAATTTTACTTGTTTTAAACCTAGGCCTAAGCAAGATTATCGGGACCTCCGACGTTAAACGTTTTTTTTTATTATGAACCTCCCAACTAATTGGTGCTTAAAAAGTTTTTCGGGTTTCGAATAAAGTGTCTTCCGAAATGCACTGGCATCACTAGGCCGAACTTCACAACATTTAAAAGCTTCATATCTATGTAAGCAACCTACGAACACACAACCACCAGTAGGAGCAGCGTATCTCTTTTCTTTAAGAAGTTAACGCTTTGTAACTGTCTTTTGTCTTTTTCGCGATCCAGAACAAATGCAGTTTTTCATGTTTTATGATTAGATATACACTTCATCTAATTTACATACCAATGCACGTCATTGGCGTCATAGCCTGTAATGTCACATGATACCAACACGAAATATTTAGGCGGTAGGTGTGTTCTTTTTTAGAATCACTTTGCCGAGTACACTGGCATTACAGCCACTAGACATATTTTATTATATACCCGTAAACTTAAAGAAATACACAAAAATACACTTCATCTAATTTATATAACGATGCACGTCATCGGCGTCATAGCCTGTGACGTCACATGATACCAACACAAAATATTTAGGGTGTAGGTGTGTTCTTTTTTACAATCACTTTACCGAGTACACTGGCATTAGAGCCACTAGACATATTTTATTATATACGCGTAGAAATAATATTTAAACATTTCTATTAATGTCAACTTAAAGAAATACACAATAATATGTTTAATTTAATTTGTATAAATGCATTATAAAGCGTTTTTACAAAGAACATTTGTTCGGAACACACTGTAACTGTAGTCGAACGAAGGTAAAATTTTGGCATAAATTGGTAACACTTATTTGACAGTTGCAATGTTGACACTTTTTGTACTTCAATATTTTTAATTTTAAAGTGAATATCTCTTGTTTTATATTTTTAACTATTTAATAAAATCTGTTCTTTTTAGAACAAAATTAGTGTGTTTTTTTTTTAAATGTCACGTAAAAATTTAAATAGTCGTTGTAAAGAGATGGTAATACTTTTGCAATAATTATGTAATCTATTTGATTTAAAATGGAGGCAGGACTTTTTTATACTTTGGCAACTATGTCAACTTCGATGTCTGACGTAGATAATGACGTAAGTCGTTATCTAAATTATGTGAAGTATATGTTTTATTTGATTTGTATAAATGCATTATAAAGCGTTTTTATGAAGAACATTTGTTCGAAACAGACTGTAACTGTAATCGAACGAAGGTGACATTTTGGCATAAATTGGTAGCACTTATTTGACAGTTGCGGTGTTGACACTTTTTGTACTTTATTATTTTGAATTTTAAGGTGAATACCTCTTGTTTTATATTTTTACCTATTCAATAAAATCTTTTTTTAGAAGAAAATAAGTGTGTTTTATTTAAAAAATGTCACGTAAGAATTTAAATAGTCGTTGTAAAGAGATGGTAATACTTTTGCAATAATTATGTGATCTATTTGATTTAAAATGGGGTCAGGATTTTTTTATACTTTGACAACTATGTCAACTTCGATCTCTGACGTAGATAATGACGTGCATCGGTATGTAAATTAGATAAAGTATATAATAATATGGGTCGGTCAGATAGCTCAGCGGGCTGTGCGGCTGCCTCTCATTCGCTTCACTGTCGAATGGTTTAGTGGATGTGGGATCGAGCCCAAGCTCGGTGTACAGAAAACAAAAAGTCTAACGCAGCAGTTTAAAATTCTAGATGAATCTGCGGCTTAGACTAGGATATGCTGGGATCTGATCGGCCTATGGTGGAGCAGTACGGCAAGAGATAAGGGCTTGCGGCTCGGTGATACTCCTCCATAGATCCCTACCGGACAGGCGTAACGCCTAAAAAAACTGGATATATATAATATATATATATATATATATATTATATATATATATATATATATATATATAAGGATCACTCAGACGAGTGGTGGGTTCTTATATCGGTCTCTAGGTGGAGAAATAAAAGACAAAGTTGATAGGCTACTTTATCTATTTTGAAGACGTTTCGCTTTCGAGTTTTGAAAGCATCATCAGTTCATCTAAAAAATTATTACAATATGAGAACCACACAATCATGGAAACGATGTTAATTGTTACCTTAAAAAGATATGTAGCAGTCAATGTTATTAACAAATATGTGAATGAAACTAAGTAAATGGACATAGTACGCTGATCTTGTATAAACAGTTAAGCAACTAACAACATATATGAACTTGTACAAAAATTAGCACAGCAATTGACCATGTGGTCCAAAATAAATTCAATGTTATTTATATTAATAAGTGAGAAAGAACCAAGAAAATCATAAATAACCTCCAACTATTTAATGGATATTAAACTTTGATTTTAACTTTAGGTAGCATTATAAGTAATATTAATAAAATTCTACAAAATAGTGAATATGAAGTTACCGATCAAAGCCTTGTGGATGTCGCCGTGAAAAT